ATATAATATATATGTCATGCATCAGATTTGAAGAGATGTGGATTTAAAATTGAGTTGCATCAAATTAAAATTAAAATTTGAGATGCATCAGATCAGTTTATCATTTATACATCAAACCAAAATGCACATAATGAATGTAATAATGATATAATAATAAAATTAATTTTTTTTTCTTGCAATGAATACATATTTTGTATCAAACTAAAAATTATGGAGTATTTATTTATTTCATAGCAAACTTTTAATAACTTGGTTAACTAATATATTGAAAGTTTGGCACTAAGTAAAAAAGAAAAAGCACTAATTAATCAAAAAAAACTGCAAAAAATTAAAAATGTTCTTTTTAATATTCTTGATACTATATTATATACTTCTACTTTTCATTACTAGGCTAAAAATAAATTTAAATTACAACAAATTAGTGATTTATATATTGTATTTTATATTTAAATACAAAATAAAAAAATAATAAAAAAAATTATAATTGAACTTTCTATATTAGTTGTAAAAAGCATGTATAATAAATTTTGAAAAATACATGCCACAGTTACTTAGCATGCTAGCCAAAAAAAAACCTAGAATTAAATTAGCAATAAACATAATTATTAATTTAAATATATTGCTCATGTGTATGATTATTTTACATGATATTTATAGGGTCGTGCACTTACTTCAAAGCGAGCAGTAGAAGTAGCAGCTTTCTTTTTTGATATTTTTACTATATTCAGACTACTACTAATTCTTCAATCTGATAATGGAAAAGAATTTGTTTCTTTAGTAATCGTTAAATTAGTTTATTTATGGCCCACGATTCAAATCATTAATGGCAGATCTAGATATTCTGCAAGTCAAGACCTTGCAGAAAGAGCAAATGGGATTCTTGAAATAAAGTTAGAAAAGTGGATAGATAATAATAATAGTCAGGATTGGTTATTCAGATTGAGATTTGTAATTTATACAATGAACAACTTAATTTGTAGAGCATATAATAAAATACCTTATGAGCTTGTATTTGGTGGATTACTATATAGACATTCTGCAGTACTTGATCACTTGTTTGAAACAAGTATTTTCTTAGAAGATGAAATCCCAAATAAATTTGGGTTAAAAAATATTCAAGAGTTAATTAATAGTTTAGATGATTTAATTAATAATATCAATAGTATACTTTTAATAAAAATTAAGTCTTCAAGTAGTTCTACAAGTTTAAATTAAGATTTGAGTCTGGATAATGAAAACCAAGAAACAGTAACAGTAATTATTATTTGTTTATAAGTAAGTATTATATTAATTTAATCTATAAAAAATTTTTTTTTATAAGTATTACTTTTACAAGATATATCAAATCAGCTACAAACAAGACACTAAGTATTACAGAACTTTGCTTGTCAAAATTTAGAAACTTATACAGCCAAAATGATTACTGCAATAGTTGCAAGATTAAAATATAAATTAGAATATAAAATTGGGGAATATGTAAAAATAATAGTCTCTAAAATTAATCAATTTGGTATTAATGTACTAAAATTTCTATACAAGGTTTTAGAAAAACTAAGCTATAATGATATATTTAAATATCATCTTGAATGCAAAATGGTATTTTGAATAACTTGTATTGTGCAGATGAGATAAAACTATTAAGCATACAAGAATATCCAGATTTGGATTATATTTCATCAGATTATATATTTGTTAGAAAAGCAGCACAAAGTCAAAGTACTAGTATGCTTACAGAAATGATATGCAAATGCACAAGTAGCTATAACACTAACAAATATCATTGCAAAAAATCTAATATTGGGTGTGAAAGTAAATATCATGATAAAAATATGTGTAATAACAAAATTTAAGTTTAACATATGTATTGAATTAATTGTATAATTATTTGTTATTTTTTGCTTTATTACTATAGGCCATATCATCACTTCTGATACATCACATTTTATAAAATAAATTAAAAAGTTTATTAATAATATTAAATC